GGAAAATTGTCTTATTTCCTTGGCATGGAATTTGTGTCATGTGAAAAGGGAATTTTTCTGCATCAGAAGAAGTACATTACCGATGTACTCAAGAGGTTTAAAATGCTTGAGTGCAAGCCTGTATATACTCCAGTTGATACTACTGTGAAATTGCAGAAAAATGCCACTGATGAAGGTGTTGATTCTACATTGTTTCGACAGTTGATTGACTCACTTAGATATGTCTGTCACTCAAGGACAGACATAATCTATAGTGTTGGAGTGGCAAGTAGATGCGTGGAGGTGCCTAAGAGAACTCACATGGTGGTTGCAAAGAGAATACTGAGACATCTCAAGGGCACAATTGATTGGGGAATTCTATTTCCTAATACAGAGGGACCTGCAACTACTGAGTTAATAGGATACACTGATGCTGATTGGAATGGAGATACAGAAGACCTGAAGAGTACTTCTGATTACATTTTCATGATGGGTAAGGCTCCAATAGCATGGTGTTCGAAGAAGCAAAATGTTATAGCATTGTCAAGCTGTGAAGCTGAGTATATTGTGGCAGCTTTTGGTGCTAGTTAGGCACAGTGGTTACAAATGCTGCTACATGAACTGAAAGTGAAGTGTGAAAGTACTATGAGGTTGAAAGTGGATAACAAGTCAACTATTGATTTAGCAAAGCATCCAATTGCTCATGGAAGGAGTAAGCATATAGAGATCAAGTATTATTTCCTAAGAGATTAAGTGGCCAAAGAGAAACTTGCAATAGAATACTGCAGTACAGAAGACCAGTTAGCAAATATGTTAACAAAGAGCTTGAAGACTAGCAAGTTTGAAGATATGAGAAGCAAGATAAAAATCCTAAGCCTTGCAGGTTTGAATTAAGGAAGAGTACTGCGAGGTAATTAAAACTTGTGTATTATTGGCAATTATTATTAGTGGACGATTAAAATACATTTAGCTGTAATTAGGCAATGGTAAATTCACGCGTTACCATTAGTTTAATTTTTTCTAAGTGTTATAAATACACATTGTAATAAGTCAATTAAAATATGAAATGGAACAGTGATTCATTCATTCATTCACTCTCTCTCTCTCTCTCTCTCTCCCTCTCTCTACATGATTGTTTACCTAAAAATTCTGTTACTTTCATTCCCTCTCATTTCTAAGAACTGATAACAACAATAATGAATCAATAAAATAGTAAATTCTCATTCCAACAACTTCCTGCACCTTCTCATCTAACCAACGACTTTGATGTAAGCTTTTATCTCCAAAAACAAGGTAGAGGTCCCTCGAAGCTCCTTCAGACACCGATCTCTCTGAACCAACATTGATACATTATTTCTTAAAGATACATCCATAGAGAAATCATGCCTTTCGGGTGTGAGAAATTTTATTAAGAAAATTTAATGAATTAGAAAATTATGATTAGAAGATTAATTATTAGAAGAAAATTATGAGATTTTTTTTTTAATTTTGAAATTTCAATTTTAAGTAATTAAAAAAATTTAAATTATGATGATAGTTATATATTTGATTTAAATATTTATTTGGGGATAAATTTTATTTTTAGTTTTAAATTATAAATAAAATAAATAATAATGCAATGTAAAATGTTTTTTCAACTCATTCTTGCCACATCAATGTCACATCATAAAATGGAGCTGCCACCTATGGTAAATGAAAGAAGACTAAAAAATTTAAAAATTATTAAATAGAGGGATTAAAAGGTTGAAATTCTTAATATGGAGACAAATAATAAATTTTTTAAAATAAAGGATCAAAAATGGATTTAAGTCTAAAAGAAATTTTCATCACATGCTTTGAATGCATAAAGCCGGACACATGAAAAATAATTGTATTCCAAGTGAAGAATGTGAAAAAATATGAAAAAGAAGTCCAAATCTTAAAAGATCCGACATAATTTACATTTCTTGGGAGAAAAAATGAAGGATATTTCAATAGTTTTAGTGAATGAAATCTCAAACATATATCATATGTGTCACAAACATGAAATTCAAACCTCTTTGTGTTTTAAAGACGTTATACAGACTTAGTAGAAGAGGTATTATTTCGGAAATTTGAGCGTCTTTTGGAACATGAGAATACTCAATAATATTTTCTACTTTATGAGAATTAGTCTTTTTACTGAGTTTATGAAGCGATAAAGAAGAAGCAGTAGTAATAGGTTGAGTGTTTGATTCAGGTGTTTCCATGTTTAAGTGGTTTTCTCCCTTACCCACTCTCTTTATTATATTCATACCATATGCACCCCTTCTATCTGTACATGCTCTAATACCAGACTGTCTAGGAGCCTCACATATCATGAGACTAACTTTAACTGTATCGCCATCAAATAGTCAACCATAGGCATAACACAAACTAACAGTTAAAACTGAAATTTCATAATAACAAGGACCATAGTATGGATCAATGGTCAGATATTTTCTGATACACAAGATCCTCATTTAGAGGCAGGTGTAGAGCATACTTGCATCAATGGGAGAATTATGATATGAATATAATAATTAAAACTTTGAGGGAGAAAGAAAAGATATTTAGAACATGTTTGTTCTTAAGCACACAAGAGAGTTTGCTTGTGATTGCTTGATCTGGGATGGTGAAGAGGATATTATTATTCCTGAAGGAAGATTTTTGGTTGTAGATGCATGAGCTGGTAATGGTTTAACCATAAGAATAAGAGGGAAAATGTGTTTTGTTGTGATGATCTGGATAGGTTTCATAGGTCGGGATAATAGATCAAGGATTACATTTTGAGTTCCTTTGATATGTTTTACATAAAAATCGTATATGGAAAACCAATATTTGAGGCAAAGGGTTTGATGATATGGTGAAATCTTATTATTAAATTCAAGGATCTTTGGAAAAGAAGAATCATCCATTTGGACTTTAAACTGATAACCTCTTAGGTGGAAGTAAAAATTTTGGATTCCCATTTTCATGGTGAGAGCTTCCTCGTAGGCAGTGTGATAATGTTTTTCAGCTTCTTTAAATTGGCCATTGGCATGACCACAATAATATCTTTTTTCCTTCAAGTTCTTCTATCAGGACTGCTCCCCAATAATGATCAGTGGCATCAGTCTACAAAATTCTTTTGCATTCTCAGGGATCTTAAGGGCAAGTGGAGTTTGTGTGATTTTCTTCAAAGCTTTTACTACTTCAATATGCTTTGTTCCCATGGTGGGGGTTTTTTATTCAACATTTAGGATAAAGGATTCTGTATCTCGCCAGTTTTGGTAGGAAATCTCTGATATAACTAATTTGACCAAGAAATTGCTGAATTTGTTTAATTGTGAGATTTTCATCAAGAAAGTTTAACGGTTCTTGGGTAATATGAGGTCGGGGTTCATATTTACCTTAGGAGAAATGCATCTCTAAAAAATAAATTTTTGTTTGGCCTAATTGACTTTTCTTCTCAGCGAGCATCATTCCATGTTGTTGAGCTATCTGAAGGAATTGGCCCAATAATTGTTTATGAGTTGTTTCATCTTTTAAGAATAATAACACATCATCAATATAGATGAGGATACTGTTGAGAATAGGCTCAAAATTTCTAGTAATGGCCTTTTGGAAAAGCGATGGAGCTACCTTAAGTCCAAATGGTAACACAATCCATTAGTACTAGGGCATTAGGAATGCATAACATCACTTTGTAAAGATCCTCAAGGTCGATACCCAATTGCCAAAATCCTGACTTAAGATCGAACTTAGAATAGATCTAGGCATCTTTGATGAAAGCACTTAAGGACAAGGCCTTTGGAATGGAAAATTTATCATCTTTGAGAAAATGATTTAGAGGTTTGTAATCAATTACTAGCCTATTTTTTCCTCTCAAGTTTTCAGATCCCTTTTCCACATAAAATGCTTGGCCAACCCATTTTGATTTGGTGGGTTCTATCAGACCTTGTTTGAGCAGCTGATTGAATTCTTCCCTAGATAATGTATAATTTGATGGACTCATTCCTGGATGAGTGGCCTTGGTTGGATTAACATCTTTATTGAGCTTGAAAGGAAGTTGAACAAAGAAGTATTTATTTTTCCATAGAGGTTTTGAGTGGCAGAATTTTTCATGGTTGTCTGCACATAGTTTGAGTAGGTTGGACTTGATTTCTTCATATCCAGCAGGGATTTTAGAAAGTGGATATAGTTTTAATATCCCATAATAAGGTTTGAATTCTCTTTTAAATTTGATTCCCGTGGGGAGAATTTGAAGTCTACTTGCTGCTGAATAGACATTCATTCCTACTATAATATCTTTGTCTGGAAGATTACTGCTAATGACCCTGGTCAAGACTATGCAGTTTGGGAAGAATTTAATTCCTATTTTCTCCTTGGTCATTAAATCTATCTTGAAAAATTTTCTATATGCTGCTACAAAGTATGCAACATGTGTCACCCATGATTCTGTTGGGAGAATGCTGTGATTTATCATTGTAATATGGCCCCTAATGTCCATATAAGCTATAACTTTCTTTGAACGAGAAAACTTTGTTGCGAGGACATGAACTTCAACACAAGGAAGTGGTGGAGTAAGAATAAAACTACCTATCTCTTTGAAGGAGTAAACAGGGAGATATCTGTCATCTTCCGACTCCGAAAATGATGCTTTATTAGAAGAAGAGTCTTGAAGGTCAAAAATTGTTTCTTCATCAGCAGAGCTTTGTTTAGAATACAAAAATGCCAAGTCTCCTTCTAGAGAATGAAGAGAGTTAATCAGTTTTGCAGCTTTATGGGTATTATTAGGACATTCTTAAGAGAAATGCCCCCTTTTTTTTTTTCCACAAATAAAGCATCTATGGTTTTCCCCTTTCCTCTGCAAGGCTTTCTTCTAAAGAAACCCGTAGCCTTTCTTTTCTTTTCCTTGGAGGTCTATAAGATTTGGTGTATTTTTGATGATGATGTTTCTTTTTCGTTGCACAACTACATATTTTGTCTTTACACTTAATCTTTGGGTAATGCTTCTTACATGCTTGGGTGAGTTTTGAATTTTATTCTATAGCTTCTGAATATTGATGATGAAAACTACAAAGCTTTTCTAGTGCTTCTAACGTCACCTGGTGAATCTGGCCAAAACTCATGGTTTTAATATCCTTTTGAGCTGTGGCTAGCATTATATGAATTTTTGGCTGGAGTTCTTGCGGTAGAGAGGATACATAGATATTCTTGAGACTAGGATCATTGTATCCATTGAGGACATAATGCCTTTGTGCCATCCTATGCTATTGTTTGTCAAGGTCTTTTGTTTTGAGAGAACAACACTTCATCTCAAAGAATTCTTGTCTATTTTTCCTATCAAATATATCCATATCACCAATAAATTCACGGTAAAGCACACCAAGAATATTAGCTGTATTTTCTAAACAATGTAAATCATCTTGTTTGAAAGATCCAAGATTGTGATACCATTCTTTCACCATGCCTGTCATTCTACAGCAAAATTCTTCAATGATCTTATATCTATCTGCACTTGTTTTCATCATCTGGGTGTCAAGCCAAACTCCAAATTCAAGCAGTCTCTTTCTTTAGTGGCTCGGTGCTATATCATCAAAAGTGAACCAAGGACCGCCATTTGGTTTAATCCATTCAGGAACTAGAGTTTCTTCAGGGGATTCTTCCTCGAAAAAGGATTCTTTCTCTTTTATATTTTCCATGAGAGTCTTGGGATACAGTTGTCTTCATATTCTGATTTAGATGAAAAAGATCTCGTTGTTTCATCAGCAGATGTTTCTTGATCAAAGTTATTTTCACCATTTGAGGAGGACTTATCTCCCTTTTGTGCTAATGATTCAGTAAGAAAGTAATTTTTCCGGGGAGACTCATAATTTCTAGTGATTTCCATGGCTTGGAAACCTTTATTAGAAATTTCTTCTTCCTTTTGGATTTTCGGAGGAGGTGTTTTAGGGATATCTTGGGATTTTGAGGATGAAACGCTCAAACAGGAAGTTTTCCCTTTTGTCTTGGAGGTTGAGGTAGTGCTAGTTCTGGAAGATTTTGGTATGTAAGCTGTAGGTATGTATTTGACCTGATCTGGTGATGATGAGACATAGGCATGGGATAAAGGAGAAGGCCTTTCCGGTCATTTGAAATATGTAGGAAAAGTAGGAGGGTCAAAGAAAGAGTTTTCAACAGGCTTGGGTTTTCTTTCATGAGAGACTCTTAAGAAATCAACTATCTGTTTTACTTGGCCTTGTAGACTTCTGATTTCTCTTTCCTTTTGGTCAAATGTTTTACCAAAAGTTCTCTCTTCTAACATTTGCCACAAATCACGATCTAGCTGGGATACTTGGGCTTTCAAGCTTCTGTAATAATTATGCTTTTTTTGGTATAAAACCTTGAGATACTCATCTGTTTCGTCTATTTTCTCAGCAACCTTATCCACCCTTTTGTCAATATTTTGGAGAATCTCATTTTGAGAAACCATGTTTTCAGATTTCCAATTCAGAACTTCTTCAGCTTGAGTTAAATGTTTAAGTTTTCCATCAGGCTGGACTTCACTAGGATGAATGAAGGGTTTGGATGTTCTGCCTGTGATTGGATCCATCTTTCTTTCCAAAGCAAGAATTTGTCTATCGTACTCTGGAGTTGTGACTGAGTTCATAAAGAAAGGAATTGGTTGGACAACTACTGGTGGATGTAGTGGTTTACAATGGTTTGTCGGTGACCATGTAATAAGAGTCGGATCATCATGTGGTAACAACCTTTCTTTCCTAAGAATTTTAAGTCCTTCCTTGTAGATACATATGGGTTTATTTTTACCATAGATTCCTACCCATGGACCATTATGTTTACCGTGAAAAAGGTAAACAACGTTGGTCTTCCAAAAATTAGTTTACTTGCAGGATCAACCAGTGAATCCTAAGGACATAGCTATTGTTTCAATATCTTTTTGGAAAATTGAAGAACACTTCGACAAAAATATGTTGTAAAAATTTGTAATAAAGTTTCATAAAAAGGATAAACTTTGTATAAATTGGTAAAAAGAAATGCAATGAAGAAAACTTCAAAGTAAAAGTGCAGTAAAGAGATAAGTGATAAATGGAAATTAAATTTCTATTGAAATAAATATGGTGTTTCAAACGTACATTTCTTAATGAAAAACTCTTTTCTCACTTGACTTAGATACTTTGAGTGAATTTTTGAGTATTTGTAAAATAATGAACACGTAGAAATCCTAACATTAAGACTCTTATTTATAACAATTCGAAATAACTGTCTTCAACGAGCATTTCTCCAAAAATTGACACGTTTTGCCCTACATGCCTTCATTTCGCCACGACTCTCCACGCGTCTTTCCTAAGAAATGAATAAGGACAAAAGACAATTATTTATCCGTATTTTTAATTTCAAAACTTCTGTCAAAGGAAGGCTTCAAACATCCTCCGTAGAAGTTGCTTTCCACACTTATAAAATATTTCTAAGTATTATCCAGATATGTCTCTTTCATGGAAACTACTTCGACCAAACTTCTCACACAAGTTCCTGTCGAAGTCATCAAAATTCAAAAAACATGATTTTGACTTAGTGTCATTAAACAAAAGCCTGGCGTCAAAATTTCCAGCCAACTAATTGCCCCCTAAAAATATCATTTTCGACTGAATGGAGTAAAGATCATTTTTTGAAGTTCACATTCGACGCCAGAAACCTTTGGTCTGCTATGACGTCACTATCATCATGACAAATTTTTCAAAACATCTCCTCAAACCCATACATGAATCTTTTTTAATCATCATACGTCTAGTCCCTAGGAGATCGTGGGTCACACTTAACTGCTACCGTCTCATCACATAACCCTTGCATGACACGCATCCCACGATTTTTGTCACTATTAATGCGTACAGTAAACGTTTCCACTTCAACCACCTTTAAATAATGAAAATAACCATTTTTAAAACTTTTCACTCTCTAAACTTCCTTGAGCGCACTTTTTCAATTCTTCATCTCTTTCAAATCTTTTTTCCTCCAAACTCACTCCATCGATGGCTTCTTTAACGAAGATCTCTAAAGATACCAACAAGAACACTAATGAGCCCAAGAGATTTGGAGAGCTTGCTCCAGTCCATAAAATTCTGGGTCCCAATGTGGTAGGCAACCAACAATACATCCCTGAGCCACCTCTTGAAGAAGAGAAGCGCATGATCTACCAACCCTAGGTACTTATTCTCGTCTATGTTTCTGGTAAGACACGCACCATGTTAGGCCCTCTTCCTAACCTTACTGTTGATCCTGCTAATATTAAGGAATTCTTTCTTGCTTACCATTGTTATAAACCCATAGCCAATGGTCAAAAACCTAGGACTAGTGAGGAAATTAAAGCTGATGAGAGATTGAAAGTTAATGGTCAAGGTTATTCTTCGACTGAGGCTTCTAGAGACCCAATTAACTTAGAGTACATGAATAATAGTTTTAGGGTATTTAGGTCATGTCCCTTGTTTAAAGACCCCTCTGATTATCTCGCTTGGTTAGGGAAATTAGAGAAAGAAAAATCCCAAGTCTGGAATTGCATGTGCATTTTTGACATGATTCATTTGTCAAAGGTGGGGCTCGGTTATTGCCCATCCATGCGGATTGCTTCCTTATAATTCTGGGATAGTACTCACAACAATTTCCAACTCCTTTATGGAATGGTGACCCCCACCTTGTTCGACGTTGCTGCCATCGCAAGCCTCAAACCTATTGGATAAGATTATGATCCTAATCTCTTAGTTGATGACTCCATAGGATTCGACATAACCAAGGAAACTTTCATCACTTATATATCTTACTACCATGATAAAGAAACTAAGGAAGTTTCTGATCAATAACATGTTTCATTTCTGGCTTTTTGGCTTTCCCGTTGCGTTTTTTGTTCAAGGTCCCTTCAAGTGGCGAAGAAATACTTAACAATGGCCAATTAATTACACGTTGGACATGATATTTGTCTTAGTGAAATGATTTTAGCCAACATTTATGAATCCCTTGGGGAAGGCGTTACAACACTGAAAACAATCAAGTCGAGAGGAAACATACTTCTTTCTGGACCCTTTTGGTTGTTACAACTATGGTTAAATGCCACATTTGAAGCATTTCTCCCTGCTCGTAATCCTATCAACACATAATCTGTCGAAGTGGAACATGAGGGTCAAAGGTATGCAGCTTGTTTTGTTAACTACCAGCGACGAAGGACTAAACCTTCAGCAAACCTTCACCAACTATGTGATGATGTTTCCTAAACGCTATAATTTCTTGCCCAGTATGGCCTCTTTTGCAGATAGGAAGGTAGGCCCTGAATGGTTCACTAGAAGATTTCCTGCTTATTCGAAAGGAAAAGAAGCAAAATATCTTGATATCTGGGAATCTTTTCTTACACCAAGATTTCTGGCTACAAGACTCAATCCCTCAAAACTTCGATTTACTCTTGTTAGTTACCAACCAAACCCCGTTGCTCGACAATTTAGCCTTATCCAAATCAAACCAAAACCACTCTTCCCCAAAAAAGGTTCCTTGATTCATTACAACATGATCCACAATAAGGCAGAGTGTACCAAATTGCTGGCTAAATATACTCACCTTACAGAAATCAATCATGTGGATTTAAAACCATCTTTTCTTTGCACCAAAGAGTTTGACACTTGGTGGAGAGAGTACTATACTAAATATTTTGATGTAGCTACCTTCAACCTTCATCTAACTCGTGCCTTTGCCCTTGTGCAGGAAAAAGCAAAGAAAGGTACTTCAACACATATCAAAGAGATGCAAGCATTCCAGAAGAACTTTGAAACTACTTACTGACCCGATGACCTTAGTCGAACCATTTGTGAAGTAGCAGTTACTTTGAAAGAAAAATTTACAAAGAAATTAGAGGATTTAAAACTACCTTCATAGACCTGATCAATGGTACAAGCTAGCTTTTAATTTATATCCTCAAAAATTCCCTCGACTGCCAAGTGTTGATTTTGGTGTGGCTTTTAGCCCTCCATTTCTAGACTGGTTTGTTTGTGGGGATTTTGTGAAAATCCTTTGACAAGAATCACAAAAACGTGCTAAACAAGTGGTTCTGAGTAAGTATACTCTGGACAATTTCAAAGGCCATCTTTATATTGGCATATAACATGTTCGTATGGAGTCTCCAATGTATGAAGGTGTGGAATGAGAGGTTCTTTGGCAACACTTATCCTATCCATTTTTCCTTATTTATGTTTTATATTTGACTTATGCTAATTGCATTAATTTTCTTTGCAGCTGTAAAAATTCCAGCCAAGAAACCTGCCATCATTGAGAAGGATGCCGTTGAAGAAGAAGGCGAAGACAACACCAAGAAACCAACAAAAAAGGTAAACTCTGTGATTATTTTTTGTTATGTATTGCTTTCCCATTCTAACATTTGAAATGTATTATTTTTGCAGAGAAGTCGAAGACCACCTCTGACACCAAAAAAGAGAAAGCAAAAGGAACCCGAGGTTCAAATAATTGAATCAAATGATGGGGATCTTTCTCCAGACCA